ACAGTTTTTTTGCATGCCGTTAACATTCAAAATTACTTTATTTACATATTCATAAAATCTGTTTAAAAATCTGATATTGTAGCAACTTGCCGTACCAACAAGTAATGCAACTTGCCGTACCGCTCTAACTAGTGTAATATTTGTATCTCACGCGCTTTTTCGCTCGTTACAGCTCAAGCTAAATAAAAGATCATCGATCATAGATATCATCGATGATACCATGATTAGTGTTTAACTGAAACAGCTTTTGTTGCATGCAGTTAAGATTCATAATTGCTTTACATATTCATAAAATCTGATATTGTGATATCTGATATTGCTTGCCGTACCGCTTTAACTAGTGTAATATTTGTATCTCACGCACTTTGTCGCTCGCTAAGCTAGCGGCAGACGCGTACAATATCGGAATTCGTGTCGGTAAAGATATTGTAATAAATAGATTTTCAACAAGCCAGTAAGCGATTTTTGGACATTCTACCAATATATAGTTTTCGTATCTATATACGATTTGTATAGCTCACTTACTCAACCATAGAGATGGGTCGTATCGCTTTTTCTGAGTACCGTATCTGAATCAGATTTCGATTTCAAATATCAGATTTCGAAACTATGTATTTTAATATCTAGATATTTTACGGTCCCGCATCCACCTTGAATTCTAAAAAAAAAAATAATAATAAAAAAAAAAAAATTTCATTAAAAATAGAAATTGAAGTAATATAAAAATGATTTATTTCAACATCTTATATATCGCTTAAAATAATTGAGTTTAACATATTCTTACAACACGCAATCATGAGTGACAATATTTTTATAATTTGTGTAAGAAATAATACATTCAGTATTATAACTTAGGGCGGAAGAATTTAAAATATACACACAAAACACATAAGCCTTGGTCTGATTTCCACCAAAGCAGCACAGCACTATTAAATTATATTTTTCTTTTTGTGTAGTTTTATTTTTTTTCCAAAAATATGAATAAAATTTAACGAATAAAAATATTCACAAAAAATTTACCTCCTAAAAATTTCCATTTAAATTTTTCTTCCTTAATTTAGGCAGAAAATTCTTAAGTAGTAAGTTGGCATCCCTTACTATTACGTGATATGTACCAATGCAATCCAGCTCAAGGTTAAACAGAATTTAAAGACATCGTTAATACCGTAATTCGTATTTAAATGCAACTAAAAATTTTTTTTCTATGCTGTTAAGATTCAAAATTACTTAACTGCGCGCTTTGTCGCCCGTTACGGCTCAAGGCTAAACAAAACAATAAAAATATACTTAATAATATCGTTGTAGTAATCGTTGATACCATGATTAGTATTTAATTGAAACGGATCTTATATGTATGGGTTTAAGATTCAAAATTACTTAACTTATTCAAAATATCTGTTTAAAAATCTGATATCGTGCATTGCTTGCCGTCCCGCTCTAACTAGTGAGTATTTATATCTCACGCGCTTTGTCGCTCGATATCTGATATCGTGCATTGCTTGCCGTCCCGCTCTAACTAGTGAGTATTTATATCTCACGCGCTCTGTCGCTCGATATCTGATTTCGTGCATTGCTTGCCGTCCCGCTCTAACTAGTGAGTATTTATATCTCACGTGCTCTGTCGCTCGATATCTGATATCGTGCATTGCTTGCCGTCCCGCTCTAACTAGTGAGTATTTATATCTCACGCGCTCTGTCGCTCGATATCTGATATCGTGCATTGCTTGCCGTCCCGCTCTAACTAGTGAGTATTTGTATCTCACGCGCTTTGTCTCTCGATATCTGATATCGTGCATTGCTTGCCGTCCCGCTCTAACTAGTGAGTATTTGTATCTCACGCGCTTTGTCTCTCGAAATCTGTTTAAAAATCAGATATTGTGGCAAACGCGTATGATATCGCGATTCGTGTCGGTATAGCGAGCGAGCACGTTACATCAGATTTCGGAAATATCAGATATTGTAAAATACATAGATATTGAACGAGCCAGTAAGCGATATTCGGATATTGTACTAATATCTAGTTTTCATATCTGATACGATATGTATCGCCCACCACTACTCAACCATCAGTGACGACGCGCCCGTTGCGCAGGCTGTACGCGTCCGCTTGATTCCAACCATATAACTATATTATGTGTTAATTATTTGAATTTGAACCTTCATGCTACGCTAAGAAGGCATATTTTTACCCGTAGACTATACGACGCGTACGTACATTTTATCGAATAGAGCAGTGATAGTAGATTATACAGTATATTAATAAATCGTCAGTGGAAAAACACCGTGTTCGAGAAATATTTTTTCCCGTATAGGTATTGTCCGAAATTGTCACCGAGGAGGCCATGAGTCGAAACGAATATAGGGAATAATAATAAATATACGAAACGCAGTGGCGCTATATTCTTGTTGTATAATGCATACGAACAACGTTGTCTCTCGCTTTAATAGATGACATTTGTATATATAGCTCGTCTCGTACTCAACAGACTCACGCGTCTCTTCAAGAGACGCAGTCAAATCCGCCGGCTAACTGCAAACAAACTACACAGTAAAAAAAAAGATGCGTGCGTGCACGTTACGTAAAAATCGAATGGAAATTGTCGTCGCGTAAATATCTCGTATGCAGTAAAACCTTATACGTAACAAGATCGAATCGTATAGGTTACAAAAGCCAAGTCGACGTAAAGGAACTAACGCGGACTTTGCAAGAATATAATTGTCCTTTTTTAACTTCACTAACCCGCAGTCGCTCTATCTCTGTCTGCCAATACTCGAGACTAGTCGAGACTTCAAATATTACACTTCATGGATTAGATACTTGGATCGACGCGTATGAATCAATGAATATAGTGTAGTTGAGCAAAAGAATTAATTTGTGATCTACACTCGTTGCCTACTCGAAGTCGTAATAAAAATCGCGTATCGCATTTAGCGTATTTAACTTTTTAGTTTTAAATATTTCGTAGTTTCTTCAATATACTTTTTTTTAATAGAGTTTAAATAGTGTTTGCTTTTTTAATTTTTAGGTGTTACTTTAAAAAATGGCTCGCAGAGGAAATAGTGTCGCATGGAATTATTTTAAGGTCGTAAGCGAAAATTTTGCCGAGTGTAACATTTGCAAAATGCTATTATGTTTTAGAAGTTCTGTATCAAACCTTACAAAACACATAAAACGTCAACATCCGTCTATTAATTTGATTACAAAAAGAGCAGACGCTCCAGCTCCAGTGGCACCAGTACAGGCTGGGCAGCGGAGGCCACATTTGTCACCATCCAACCTGACGCAATCACCATCCATGACTCTTCCAGCTCAAAATATTCAACAACCTGAAGGTGAAAAACAACGGCCCACTTTTTTTTTAAACATATCCATAAGCATCTTATCTCATGTATAATAAAAAAGTTATATAATAAAAAAACTAACTGTTGCGCTTTACGAGCGTGGTGACCGATTAGAAAACAATTTTTTTTTATTTTATTGAATAAATGAGAAGTTAATATCGTTTAAGATATTTTTATTATATTACATTACATGTAGGTTATTTAGGAATTTTAATCATGGAAACTATAGGTTTTATTTATTTATACTTTATTGTACACCAAAAATAAACAGATATATCTATAAAGAAAATTACAAATGAATATAAAAGGAAGTACAATAGGTGGTCTTATTGATCAGAAAGCGATTTCTTCTAAACAATCATTGCGAAAAGAATTATTGGTAATGAGACATAAAGAAGAGAGCAGAGGGAGAGGTGTACATGAATCACTTATAAGCATCGGATGAAGGCATTTATAAATCAATGAGATAGCCAAAGATTTTCGGGAAAAATAGGAAAGGAAAAAGGAAAGCATGAGTTCACAGTTCCAAGTAGTGGGCTTTTAATAGGTTTTTAAAAAAAAGAAGTGACTTGGCTTGTCGAATGTGAAGGGGCAAAGAATTCCACAAACGAACAGCTGTCACTGTAAAAGATTTGTTGAAGAAGGAAGAGGAATGTACAGGAGTTTGGAGGGAGAGATTGGCAGAAGAACGAAGGGACCTTTCATGGGATAAGGAAAGATACTCGAAGCGATCTTTTAAGTAATTTAAGTTTATGGTAACTGAAATAAGAAATATAAGTTTGAGACTTGATATCGTCTAAATATCATATCATCATATGATAATATAATATTATAATATCATATTATAATATCCATCCGTGCGAGTTGCGTACAGTCGTACCATATACATACACGTTAAGCAAACGCTCGGCCGCTACATGGTAGGCGGAGTGGGGGGTGTTAGGTTTTATTTTCGTTACGGAATTCCTTGATTCGGTCGCCGCGCTCAAAGCCCGCGATAAAAGCTATACAATAGCTTAAAAAAACCTTAGATATAAGTATTATTAAGTTTTGTTGTAGCATTTATGTGTTGCAAGAATAAGGCACTGGTTGATGTACGCAGTGTGATTGTGTCAGTACAAATTGTACTTGAACTACATCTTCACGTATGTATACGTAAAAGAAAGCTGATAAATGTAAATCATATATATGTAGATAACTTTATAATGGACTTACTATAGACTTCCAACCATTCCGTATTTTCAAAGACAAGGGTTTTATTTTTGCAGTCTGCCCTACCTTAGTACGTTATTTTAACTCTCCTACAAACAATTTATTGCTAACTCGTTACGAATATTTGCGATCTTCAAAAGTGACGGAGGTAGCAAATGATGTTGAATCTGTTTCCTTTATAGAATATCTATCGACATCAAGCACAGCCGACTCCACCGATATCGCTAGTCATCATATTTCCAAAGATGACTGCACTCTTAAATACATTTTGTTAGATTGTGTACTTTTAGAGGGGTCAGAACTTAGTAACGGAATTGTTAACAATTACAGAGGAATATAGTGTCCCGAAAGTTTTTGTTAGCAGGTTAGTGTCAGGATAACGGCGCACATATTAGAAATGCTATGGTTCTTATATTCAACTAACGGCCGTTAGTTACATTATCGTTATGAAGTCGTTTCAACGAGTCGTTATGAAAGTTAGTAAGTTATGTAACTAACGGCCGTTCGTTGAATAAAGGAACCGGGCATTAGACTGGAAGCATTAAAAAAAAAAGACTTGCGGCCGCTATAAAAATAAAGACTTGCAAATTTAGATTTACTACTTAAAAGTTCCTGGATCCTAGATTAGATTTCATTGTACTTTGAAGACCAAATATAAGCTGAAACAAACAAATAAACAAAAAAAATACTGTATGATAATCTGTGTAATCATGGCTATTATAAAAAAGAGAATCAAAATAATCCCCAAAATCAAAATGAACAGCACCCATCAGAAAAGCAGACGAACTTCAGCTCATTCTAAAATTAAAATTAATATATTAACGAAGTACTACCTGGAAAAATTAAAATATCAAACCCAAGAGCACAACAACTTCTACGATCTTCTTCACCGAACTTCGTGTAAAATTTTAGAACTTTTAATATATTTCGATGATAAAGTTGTCTTGTGAGAGTATATTACCACTGCGGGTGATGGGAAAATCGAAAAGACGTATACCCGTATTTGTATGATCTACCTACCACTTAAAAAATTAAACGCTACGAGTGTGCCTTGTGATAGACTTTTCCCTCCGGCGGTCTACTAGTGAACGACAGGAGAACGAGCTCAGGCACCAGAAGGGGCCCGCAATCGATGTCTTTACTTATAGTAAAGAGTAAAATAACAACCTATACATGTCCCACTGCTGGGCAAAGGCCTCCTCTATACGGAGGGTATCAGGGCATCGTCCACCACGCGACCCCACTGCGGACTGGCGGACTTCACATATGTTCGAAATATATATTTTTTTGTTATTATTTCAAAAATATGCAGCACTCAAAAACTTCATTGGTGCCGGCACCGGGGATCGAACTCAGGTTGCTCGAGTATATTGAATTAAAGGCGAGCGCCCGGACACTGAGCTTTAATTCAATCTAAATGCAATCTGCTTTACTTATAGGGTCATGATAAAATTCATAAATCATGTGTAAAAAAGTGTTGCCCGCTATTTAGCATTATTGTATATAACTACCATTCGTGACCAAATTCCAGTCAGGTCTGCAAAAAGTGTAGAACAAACAACAGTTGAAGATGAAGAATCATTATTTTTTGTAATTATTATGTAGATTGTGATTTTTTTTAAATAAGACTAATAATAATTAACAACAAATTGACGTTTAACAAATTCTTTACGAATGGTAAAACATGTTAACATAACATATACAAAAATTATATTATAATTAGAAAGAAAATTATTTTTATGCTGTTATTATCATTATGCGAATTGTGAAGTCACGTAGCTCAGTATACGAATGCCCGCTTTCAATTTAATATTCCTAATAGAGAATTGAAAGCGGACACTCGAATACCCTAGAATTCAAAACGAGTTCAAATCAAGTTACTAGCGGCAATGAAATTTTTAATTTTGCAGCTAAATTAAAAGCTCTGTAATTGCTGAGTTGACTACCGCCGTTTAACCTTACGAGTTACTTAGATTCTATCTATCTATGTACAGAAAACATCTAGGTTTGTTAAAAACTACATTAATCTTTTAGCTTTTTTTAATTTATCAAGAATTAAACATAAGAATTTGTATAAATTTTTATTCTCAAAATCTTAACTTTCTGATGGACGGATTTTTTGCAACACCATCAGCCCCAATTATATCAGAAGTTAAATTAAATGTAAAAAAAATATCTATAAGAATAATAAAACTGAAGTGTCTCCCCGTCATTTCAAAATATATTTTTTACTTCAATTTTGATTTAAGTCAAAATATTTAGGATAGTGACTATTTTTATGTTTTCTCTGAAAGTTTATCTCGAATCGGCTCACTAGGGCTAACGACTCGACTTCAATAAAAAATAGGTATAGGATTTGAGATAGAAATCTTAATCTCATGTTCACCTGTTTCTTCTCCGTTATATTAACCATATTACGAAAATCGTGGTTACTGGTAGTTAAAAAAACTGAAAAATATCGATAAATAAATTATTTTTCTTTGATATCTTTGAGGATTCGAAAGACATAAATTTCATAAGAGACATTATTTTTCATTTCAATTCGGTTAAGTCCATGAAGACGAAGTTTCGGGCATAAGATAATAAAATTGTTCACTATGCCTGCTCTATTACATTTTACGGTTCTTTATCTTTTGGTAATGATTGTTATTTATTATTTACTTATGGAAAAAACCGTCGATCAAAGAACTCAGGTGTCTCGACATCATTAAATTGTGATTCATATATTTATTTAAAAATAATTTCTATTTCGACATTTTTTTAATTATTTTCCTTTTAGTAATCTGTAAAGGAAGGTGCTAAACGTTTATTTTTTTATTTATTCAAATAACACAACTGCCGTGATCGAAATATCATCGTCACAGACTTGCAATGATAGCTGAGTAGGTATATAACGAGTGAAATGCTTGGGGTAGAGTTCGTGGTAGGGAGCGATTTGCGCGTGAACAGGGTGGCAATGCGGCACACTCGCTCGTCGCGCCCCCTTGCAAGGCGCAAGCGCGGCCCGCTCCGACCGACGCTCGCGGGCCCGGATCGATGAGATAAACGCGCAACCCCGCTTTTTTAGTTGAATCAATACGAACTCCATCGATTTTCGCAGCCGCAGCCGCCGCACATCGGAGTGGAGGGTCGCACGCGGTGGTTGCGCGTGCCACGTTATTCCGAATAGTACATGGAAACTCTTATCATAGTCACATTTGAGTATGTTAATGTCGTGATTCGTCGCGTTGTCTGTTTTTCATAACTAGCGGACATTTCAGGTAAACCGACTGTATTATAGAGTTTTATATTCCATGGGTCGAAAATTATCGTACGCGCAATACAATATTATTTTCTCATTGTTTCAAGTTGTTGAAATGCTTAAAGAATCGCGAAATAATATTTTAAATTATTTTCTATGCTTATTTTTAAATTTATATTCTATTTCCGCTTCCTCGTAATAAATAGTAATAAACAATTGAAAGATAAGAAAAGTCAATTTTGAGTATTATCATTTCATGAAAATTTCTCCTAAAATAACTAGGTATTGTGAATTGTATAATAAATACGAAAATGAAACACTGAGGAGTTGTAAACAAACCGCACGCCAAAAACTCGTGGTCGTCCCAAGTTCGTGTACAAAACTATGTGACTGTTTTCGTTTTCGCAGGTGACGCGAGTGTCCATTATGCGTCCGAAATGACTTCCTCGGACACTTACCAGTTGAAATGGCACTCGCACAGCTCGCATCTAAACGGCTCCGTGGCGGCGCTGCTACGCTCGGAGCGGTTTACGGATGTGATGCTGTGCACAATGGACGGCTCTCAGATACCGGCCCACAGGTTCATATTGAGCTCGTGCAGCGTCTACTTGAGCACTTTGCTCGAGGGGCAACGCTACGTGACGCGGATGGGCGGAATGCTGTACGTGGTCCTTCCCTCGGAGATATCGACCAAGGCTTTGAAAATCCTCGTGGAGTATATGTACAAGGGTGCGTATTTCATTTGTTGACTACTACTAGGGCCACATAAACGTATGGATCATGAAATCACTACATAGTATAAAACAAAGTCGTCCCGCTTTCTCTCTGTCCATATGTACGCTTAGATCTTTAAAACTACGCAACGGATCTTGGTGAGGTTTTTTAATAGATAGATAGAGTGATTCAAGAGGAAGGTTTATATGTATGCATTGCACCAGTGCGAAGCCGGGGCGGGTCGCTAGTTTTAAATAATTCTTATTACACCATATTCCATTACAGGGGAGACAACCGTGTCTAATGAGGTCCTAGACACTGTTTTGAAGGCAGGGGAGGTTTTAAAGATACGCGGCCTTTGGAGGCAAGCTGATGAGGACACTCCATCAGCAGAGAAGACAGCCACAGCGTCTGTGCCCACAAATTCCAATAAACAAACAACAGCTGCAAAGAAACCGGAGGAGATACAAACAAAAATATCTATTAAGAAGGATGATAAGCTTCTTAAAGCTTTTAATCCTATTCAGCAACAGGGCACTGTCACAAGGTATATTCGTAATGAATTCATAATTTTTATTTCGCAAATGCTTTTAAAGTTTGTATTGCATGTTTGTCTTAAAAGTACTTAAAAGAGTAAAGTAAAATACTTAAAGATTATTTGAAAACAGCCACACATATTTATTGTTCTTAATATAACCGTGGTAGGACCACGTAGGAGTATTCGCTGTTGCACGAATGGGCAGGTCCGTCCAGGTTAGTACCATGATCTCACAGAAGACTGGCGTAAAGAAGCCTACACTTCTGCGTTTCGTCTGGTGAGTGATGTAGCCGGGGCCCATATTAGCAACAACATCTGCAACCAGTGTTGTAAATGTCCGTGGGCGTCGGTTATCACTTGACATCAGGTGAACCGCCATCTCGTTTGCCACATTGTCATATAAAAAAAAATTCTGTTCCGTTAGAATACCTGTGCTTGCTTAAGTATGATTTAAAAAAAAAACATTTTTCTCCATTCTTCCAGGCCAATGTTTATTGGGCCTCCTAAATTGGTGTTTATAAAGACCAGTGAGGGTGGCACGACTGCAGCCTTAAGACCAGGTGCCACTAAGGGCCAAACGATCCTGGTGGCACCCGCACCTCAAACTGAAACAACTATGGCCACCGCAGTGATAACCAACCCAATTCCTACTGCCAGTGCCACATCTACCGTATCAGATGACTCACCAGACGAAGCCCCGCCACAGCGAATACTAAGAAGGCGTGGTGCCGAAAAAAAGTATGGAAAAAGACAGAAGACTGACATCGGGACTGAGACCGAAGAAGGAAAGGACAGTGAAGATAATCAGGACAATGCTTCTGAGACTTCAAGTATGATCTCTTCTTCATTCTTATTCTTCAATCTTCTTTTTTCTTGATATATATAAATTACGTGTCGCGTTGTTTGTCCGCGATGTACTCCTAAACTACTTAACCGATTTTAAGAAAAATTTGCACACCGTGTGCAATTTGATCCAACTTGAAAGATAGGATAGCTTACATCTCAATTTATAGTCGCAATATTATTTTATTGCAAATTATTTGTCCATTATTTGACAATCACAATTATCTGTTAGCTCAAAACGATTCTAACAGATGGCGATATCTGTTGACTGGATTGAGTAAGTATTCAATAGATGGCGCTATGTTAAAAGTACAAACTTCATATTCATTTAGGCTACAATTTATTAGCATAACCTAACCACCACGTGTTTCGGAGGCTGTGTGTGTTGTGAGTGAAATCAAATTGTTCTTACTTTTCAATTTTTGGTGTTAACATAGCAGGCCACGTGTTAATTTATGTGTTAATTCATATTTATAGTGAAGATAATGCATTAAAATTATTAGTGCTTCATGGTTCAAAACTCTTTAATAAAAATATAAACATGTAAGTATTATAACATAGTTTTATTATTATATTTGTTATTAATATTTTTTTTTCATTATTTTTATTCAAACTCTATCAAAAATTATTTTGCACTCCTCATTTGCTGTAGTACGTTTTTCAGCTTTTTTTTTTTAAATATTTAGATGTTCGAATTTTTATTTTCAGTCAAATGCCACGGAAAAAATCTGACCTCAACAACGCGTGCAGCAGAAACGCACGACGCACGCGTATTGCAAGAGCTCGTCAGTCGGCAGAACAAATCGCAACAAGAAATGCAGCTTCAAGAATTAGGACAGCAAATGGTCGTGCCACTCGTGCCCTACCAGTGCTTCCAGAGCGCGAAAGAAGAGAGATTATAGTGCTGCCAGCTAAAAAATACAGTATATTAAAAAATTCGATACAGTGATAATTACAGTAGAAAGTATTTGGTAATATATTGAAAGAAAAACAATCTGTATTTTTCTTTATATCTATTTTTCTTAGTTATCTTTACATTTTTCATAGTTTTTTGTGGTCATTCTCGAATTGCAGCTTGCTAATTGTTAACTGCTTACTGAAGTGGTGTTCACACTTAGTTCAAGTTTATGTTTAGCACTTTGGCTGTCTTTTATTTGACTGTCTTGTATTTTTCCTTTATAAGACAGAGGCGACTTCCTTACTTTATACTACTTCAACTGAACTTGGAGTACCAATTGAATCATCGGGGATTCCCCTCCCAGCAAGTAAAGTAGTGCATTTTGTTATGATTCGTTCTACGGATTAACTTTTATTATTGTGAAATGGATTACAGTAGATCCATACACTATATATTTTCACTACAGTAACAGTAAAAAACTCAAAATTACATGTTATTTACTCACAGCTTGGTAATATAAAAATTTGTTAAAAGCTTGAATAAAAAAAAAATATTTTGTATTAATTTTTGCTTACTATCTACTGTACGAAATTTTAGATCAATCGTGTTCAGTCCTTCTTCTTCGAATCCCATTCCAGTGGATAAATCAACTTAACGTTTCTGTTTTCGATCGTAAATAATAATTTAATTGTATTAAAGGGTAACAGTAGTAGAAAATCAGTCATGGAGGTCTCCATGTTTTTTTTACAAATGGCACCTGTGTAAAAAAGCATGGTGGTCCACATGACTGATGTTCTCCTACCGTTCCCCTTAAATAGTTAACTACAATGGAATATAACAAAAAAAAACTTTGCCACTGCGACGCCTTATCTTTATGTGTATATATAATTCTTCTGTACGCGTGTATGTCACTAATCTCCTAAACGGCTGGACCGATTTTAATGAAATTTTTGTGTGTCGGCATCGATTCGAGAATGGTTTAGATTCTCAATACGGTGCACTATAATTTCGTTTTTATCTCTAAGTTGTCGAATTTAAGTCGTGTGTACAGGACGTCTGTCCGGTCCGCTAGTAATGATATAAAACTGAAGAATAAACCAATGCTTTTGCGACCTCACCCTAGTTAAGCTTTCAAGGTTGTAAAATCAAACAGTGGGAAGAGAAATGTATTAGATATGATATACTTGACCTAGATCAATTAAAAAATTGTATGGAATCACAAGTTTCCCATTTGTTTACAACTTAATCTCATTTTAAAACTTTAAAGATTAATTCTTGCCGCTTACTGATCACTAGAATACTAAAATTTTTGAAACATCTTACAATACAAGATTTTCCATTAAACAGTAATTTTGTGTACAACTCTTTGTGTTTGATTTTCCAACAGAAAAATCATCGCAAAGCACTACGGAAATTAGTACTGAGGTACACGTGAAGGATGAACCGGACTGGGATGCAAGTAGTATAGAGGAGGAGGAGACATCTATTGCTGAGATGTTCCATGCAGAGATGACGGTCAAATCTGAGCCTGCTGATGAGATAGACATTGAAGAAGAAACTTTGGTAAGCCCTATTCATACAGTTCTATTGTGAAAAATATAATTAGTACTACATGTTATATATTTATAACAGAATGAGGAAAATAGTATAACAAGATTAAATATATTTTTAAATCAAAAATATTATGTACTATAAAACAAATTTTATTAAAAAAAGTTAAAGACCTAGACGTTCATAGTGTCATCTGAACAACACACTTGAAAGGTCCGGAATAAAATAAGTTGAATTGCCAGAAACATTTGGAGATAATTTGAACTGCAACCTTGTCATGATGTGATGCATTTAGTAGTCAATACAAAAAGGAAAATTTTCATGCTCGGGAAAGCCAAAAGAGTGTAGCCGTCTCAAAATTCTATTGTGAATCCGAATTTCTTGACCCTATAAACTATATATTTGTTTGCATATAATTGTGTTTCACTGAGCTGAGTCAACAGGCTATAAGCTGAGCGATATTTTCTACAGCGAGTTTCACTTTACTTTAGCATTTATTTCCAATCTTCATTTGTAAACTTGAAGCTGTCCTCGATGAAACAATTATATTAAAATTAGAAATGCGTTATTACAGTTTGTTAAATATACGGTGATATACGCGGGACATTGACACTAATAAGACATTAATAAACTAGTGACATTACGAAACAAAGTACCACATTGTGTTACGTACTGTTATATACACGCTTTTAAATGTTACAGCACCTTTTTGTAACACCCTATATATGCAGCCTCGGCTGTTGCACGAATGGGCAGGCCCGTCCGGGTAAGTACCACGACCTCACAGAAGACCAGCGTAATGTGGAGGTATGACAAATACTTTCGCGTTTCTACTGATGAGTGAGGTTCAAAAGGTTGACAACGCATCTGTAAGCCTCGGGTGTAGCAGATGTCCATGGGTGGCGGTATTCACTTACCATCAGGTGAATCGTCTGCTCGTTTGGCAACTTTTCACATAAAAAAAATAACACTGGTTTTATTACAAAATGGAATTAAAACAATGTATTAACAGGACGGAGACCGGATTGTGACTGAGTAACGACTGTCCTCGCACTAGCTTCCATCTGATGCGCTTGATGATCTGATTCACTATGAATATGCTGACACAGCTCCTTTGTAGAGCGGTAGAATGCATCACCCCTAGTGAATACAATATCAATATATAACAGTACGGTACATTTTTGGTTTAAAAATTACGGTACTTCATATACGAGATCCGTATTTGTATGTCAATGTCAATGTCCCGCGTATCAAGCTATATTTAACAGACTGTAACTTTGGCACGGCCGATTCGGTTCGCTTTTAGATCCGCCCCCAATTTGTGTACTTGTACAAACACATTTCACGGTGTATTTGTCCGCAGATGTACAGCCCGCTCTCGTGCGAGCTGTGCGCGGAGGTGTTCACGGTGCCTGGCGCGTGGGTGCGCCACGTGCAGGGCCACGCCCGCTCCGACCACCCGCACGCGCGCAAACGGAAGCACCGCTCGGCGGTCAGTATAAATATGTACCTGGACAAAATGCCCCCAATATGTCCAATGCCCCAAGACAGCGACAATAAGTGTGCAATTTGTATTAACTGATGTTTGAGCTTTCAGTCCCGAGACTATTAAAGCTTTATCTGACGCAGAACCGGCGGCCTAGCCAGAACGCACGGGTTTGGGCCCTCCGCTGTGGGTAGGGCCAAGGGTATGCAATTTTCTAAAGCCCACGCTGTATACAGCGTTTTTCGGGGCTTAAACAAATACATTGTCTGAATTACTTTCATGTTTTGTTAACGTAAACAAAATACGATTACGTTTTAATCACTTTTCATTGAAAATAGTTGAAATAATTAACAAAACAACATAATATTATATCAACTTCTTGATTTTACGCGGATATTATACATATTAAATGAAACTTGTTTACGGATTTTATCGCGTTTTTGACAGACTGTGATCGTGAACGCTGGAAAGGGTTCGAAACGTCGGGAAGTTCAAATCAAAATAAAAACGCGATAAAATCCGTAAACTAGTTCTATTTAATAAACATAATATTAACTAACATTTCATTAAATACACTCATTAATAGACATTTCACTTTTTTTACTCATTTTGGTCAGTCAAAATAATGCCAATAAAATGATGCCATGAAATATTTTTCTTGCCCCTAACTATTTGGACTCACACTATTTGTTGGACCCCAAAAAAACCTAATATGCATATTTCCGCTGTAATTTTAGGCCTAAGAGCCCTAAGTTGACAAGGCTGCAACACCGCAACCAGTAGACGGGTCGCTAACCTCGCAAAACTAAAGGTCGTTGACCTCTCGCGTTGAACAGCTGATGCTCGACTCCGTGCCGTTCTACGTTGTATGCGAATACAAATCGCTCAATAGATAAAATATCTATTGCAAAATCGGTTACAGTACCAACAAACATAGATATTAGGCATTTTAAAGATTTATTTTTTTAATTATGCGAGAGGGCATAATACTCACACCGCACACCCAAAACTATCTTGAGTTTACTTAACGAATTTTATAAGTATTTAGTTTTACATTTTGCGCGTTCTATAGTGTAGGTTAAAATAATATGAGATATATTAAGATAGTAGGTTAGTGATGCATCAAAATGATGTTGGCCTACACGAATTCATCTCAAATGGCAAAACTTAAATGTTCCCGAGTGTAATTTCGAGTTATCACTTAATATAACTTTATCTACTTATTGTGGTAGAACCACGCAACAGTATTCGCTGTTGCACGAATGGGCAGGTCCGTCCGGGTTAGTACCACGACCTCACAGAAGACCGGCGTAAAGTAGAAGTGTTACACTTCTGCGTTTCGTCTGGTGAGTGCGGTAGCCGGGGCCCACCTTATTAAAAGGTGGCAGCAAATCTGCAACCGGTGTTGCAAATGTCCGTGGGCGGTGGTTATCACTTAACATCAGGTGAACCGCCATCTCGTTTGCCACTTTTTTGCATTAGTAAATCTAATAGTACTTTTTTTGCATCTGAGCTCGCAACAGTACACAAACGTGCAGCGAGAATAAGACAGAATTTGGAATTCCGTTCGGGCGCAGCTGCCACATGCTAATGCGTATAACCTGTGAACTGCAACAATCGCTCGAACGAACTTAATTGCCGCATTTTACATAATCTACATTTCCAATGTCTTATTGTTTAAATAAACTAAAATAATTGATATTTTCAACATTGCAGAGCGACGACACGGAAGAGACGACGGCTCTATTACGCTGCGATTTATGCCAGAAACACTTCCCCAACCCCGCCGAGTGGGTGCGTCACATACAAAGCACTCACACGGAGACAGGTCGGTGTCTAGCGCGTATATCTAATATATAAAATTTGTAATTGACCTCCTCCGAAACGGCTCGACCGAAATTTTGTGTGCATATTGGCCAGGGTGGCGAATCGGACAACATCTATTTTTCATCACCCTAAATTTTAAAGGTTCAGGGTGGACCCTGAATATTTTTTAAATTTCAAAAATTCCTAGGAAATTATTTATACGGCAAGACAACGTTTGCCCGGTCAGCTAGTATACATATATTTCTGCCTCCTACACAAAGCTACGAACTAGCATTTGAAAAGTTGCGATTTGTGAATGGAATAACAGTAAATATTAGAAGTCAATTGTGTGACTATTAGACCAAGACCTGCGGTCTTATAAATTTGTACTCAGGTCCAAAGATATATTAGAAGATTGTTACTACTCGCAACTTGAATTTTCTTTGTGTTAATTACAAATTACAGAACTGTAAAACTAACCGCGTGTACCTATAGTATGGACGACATCTCTCCTCTATGTTATCAATTAAAGAGGTAGGGGTTAAATGTTGGAAAAGGTTCAGGTACAATTGCAGTATAATTAGCATTTCGCACATACACTTGCACAATCTATACGTGAATTTATTCGTTGATCAAACATTCAAAAAAACATTAAAGTGGAATAAGAATTTTGTGCAGAAAAGACAACAAACAAACGTCTCTGTGACATGCGCCTTTCTATTCCTTCTTGACTTTAGTTTTTTCTGTTACCCTTATGCGTATACAGCGTGTCTTTACGATCGCGACAATAAATGACCATACATATAGAGGATAACTTTTTAAAATTGTATTAAACATTTACATTCTTTAAACATCAATATGTACCGAGTTATTAAATTTTCCACAACAAAGAATTTTAGAACACCCTTACGTATAAAACTGTAACGTAAAGTTCATTTGTAAAGGTCACAAAGCGTATGAATAGGTCGAATGAATTTAAAAGAGACTAAACATACTGTTAGAAGGAGAGGCTTGTAATGCGACGCTGTGGGAACGAATGAAAAAGTCTCTGAATGTATGAATCAGTCAGTTGTAGTTGTATAGGATGTTACAAATTTTGTTTCTTTTTTACTTAATTAGTTTGTTTTAATTTTTTTTTAATTATGGACTTTTTTTAACGTTAATATTTTTTATGATTATTGGCAAGTAGCATTAGAGGTGTGTTCATTTATTGTCGCGGTTGTAACGACACGCTGTAAAAATTAGAATTATAAATTAGAATCTTAAGTTTACTTTCTTATAACTATTAATTACACAACTGTAATCATAAGATTATGCTTTAACTTTTAATATTGTTAGATTATTAATAAATTAATAAAAAAAATAATTAAAAATAAGTTGATCTGTTGCAAAATGAATCATCTGCATTTTAAAAACTAAATTAAACACTTGCTTTTATTTAAATGTTATAAATATAAATTGTTAAATTCCATGTGTTATCATTGTAAACCATTGATACTTGCAATGACTTATGTATACAGTAGTTTGATAAGATAATGAGATAAGACATTTCAATTGAATACCTATATGATCTTTCATATCTCTTCTATCTTAGAAATTCGACGAAATTAACTAATATTGACATTATAATTTATTTAAAATGATGTAGGTACATATTGTATATATTTCTAAAAGAATTTCAATTTCTTTCTGTTAACTTCTATAACTCCCTAATTGTAAATATCAGGTTATATTAACTTACTATAATAATCAATTTCCTAACATAGCTGAAAACTGATTGTTATGTATGTGGCTGATTCTCGACAATCGCTCCATATTATGTCTCTATTTTATGTTTTTAAAATTTCTCCGTGGACTCACTCATAGAGTCCACGCATTCGCTGGCTTATGTGAACGTTACTAAATGTCTTTTTTTTATTTTGAAACAAATAACGCTACACCCATGATAATCACCTTCAGTTATGTTCGCTTTTTAAACTTTAAACAAAAAAACTTGCAACGCTCCGTCTGCCTTCGGATTCCACGCCCTTTCGCCCTCCCTCCGGAATCTTGTAGCAAACGAAGCGTTGCAAACTAGAACGTCTCTGTATCGTTTATCTTAATTTCGTTCAATGTCGGTTGTCTAGAATTGGCCATATCAAACAACAGTGCCCCACCAAAACGTCACAATCGTTTCACAGAGGGCGCGCAAAACAAGACTTGCACGCACTGCAAGAAGATATTCCCATCGCACGCATCCATGCTCATTCATATGCGTACACATACGGGTGAGTACAACACGTTATTTAAGTAAAAGAATTTGAACCCTTGATATTTACTTTATTTCTTAACTGCATACAGCTTTATTTGCAATTTTGTTGTTAATATTTTGAATAAAATTTGATTGTAGTAATGAAGATTTTTCATTTACCAAGGCATATGCAAAATTCAGGTGTTTAGCAATAATACGGATGCTGTCCACATATTAGAAGCCTCCACTTAGCAGCACGTGATTGAGATTGTCGGGCGTACGAGCATTTCCCCTGATGTTTGGTGAATACCATCACTCCATCACAACACCGCTTCATATCGAATACGAAATGCAAAAGGACCAATAATTCTTACGCACTTCCCTCTTGTAACAGACAACAGTAAAAATGGCATTTTTTTGTGATAAGGTGGCAATCGAGCTGGCGGTTCACCTGTTGTTACGTGATAACAGCCGCCCATGGACATTTGCAACACTTTCAATAAAGTGGGGTCACTCACCAGACGAAACGCAGAAGTGTAACACTTCCACTTCCGACTTGCCCATTCGTGCAACAGCGAACTGCTGCGTTGCCCTACCCACGCTTAGTCGGCGCTAAAGGGCCGAATGGTTTTTGTCTCTTTTTGCGCGCGCGCGCTTGTGTGTGTGTGTTTGTGTGTCGCTACGCGAGTCCGCTGTGCCCGTGTGCGTTTGCGACGCGCACGCCCTCAACGGTCCGCTCGGCAGGCGAGAGGCCGTTCGTGTGCGGCCTGTGCAACAAGGGCTTCAACGTGAAGTCGAACCTGCTGCGGCACCTTCGCACCCTGCACGACCAGATGGCGCGCGACGAGCTCGAGGAGCCGGGGCCCTCGGACGTCGTCAAGCGCGAGACTTGAGGCCGCGGAGGGCGGGCAGGTGAGCGGGGGCGGGGGGGATTTTGATACTATCGGTCAACGTCACGAGAAATAAAGTAACAGCCTGTATATGATACTGCTGGGCAAAGCCCCTATCTGTATACAGGGTGTTTGGTCAGCCAGGCGACCCCACTGCGGACTGGCGGATTATGTTATGTACCTTTGAAATATTTTTTTGTTATTAGGTATTTCGAAATGTGTCGATGTTTTCCTGTGTCTGTGATAAATCAGCACTTGAAATTGACATTTTTTTTTTGGTGCTGCCACCAGGATTTTTACTCATGTTGTTCAGGCATATTGGATTAAAAGCGCCCGTACGCTGAGCTATCACGACTTTAATGCCAAGAATATTAAGACTTTATAATAGTGTAGAGATTTGTCTCGCAACTAGTACAAGTTAGAGGGTAGTTAAGACACAAGATAAATTATGGTACCATTTAAAAAGTCTGACGGTACGGAAGGCCATAGCAAAGCGAAATTAAGGACGTGTATTGCTATCGTGGGTAAAAGTAATAATAAATACTATGTCGAATGTTCCATACGCTCGAGAGCGAGTGTTAAAAAGCGCTGACCGGTTGGTGGTAAAGAAGCAAACGGAAAGTTTGGTGACTGTCAGCTTCGCTTGTGACATTCCCAGGTAGCGCCATCGTCGCCCGTCATTTGTGAGCTTTAAATTCATAGACCTTGAATTAAACAGTTGGTACTATCTGTGTATACGCCTGTCTTACCTCTGTGCTATAGGACACCTATGTGCGGTGTTACGCGTGAGAAAAGCTGCGTACAGCGTTTACTGTATTTTATAAATACTACTAAAAACCTTCTCAAATCACTCAGTTTTTATTAAGTGGTAATATTATATTTACAATATTTCGTTACTTACACCCAGTGTGTATTTTCTTTGGGTGTCAATAGATTCTATCGAAATAAGGGCAAATAATAAAAACTTGTACAATCAGGTCATGCAGAGTAACTATAATATAACTTAGCTTGTTTTAAGTGTTGTATAATAATTAAAAGTTCTGGAGAACTGTGTTCATTAGCGTATTCTTTAAGAAAGGAAAAGACATAAAGGTTTTGTTACTTTATTTTATTTATCATCATTTCAGTCTGTTATCTCAGAACTCTGTCATTTTCGAACCGATTATACAAAACTAATTTACATTGGGTTATGTTCAGCTGCCATGCGGTCCAATATTAATTTCATTGGTATTGAATCTGGGACTCAGCGAGGTGCACTATGGAACACCAAAAAATCAGATACCACACTACCACGAAGTATTTATACTAATTTATTACTGCCCAATTGGTGTTTTAATAAAGAAGGCGCATGTCCATACTGCGCGGCATTTAAAAATTGTTCTGCTTTACATTATGACACGTGAATGCGACGGATAATATAGAACCTTGCCCCCTTAGACCTACTACATAATTGCGTAATATCTTGACGACGCCAATGTGTGGAGTTAATACTGTTGATACTCACGTAGCGTAAAATAAGACTTATACCTGTACCATTATATTGTAAACTGGTAGTTTAAAAAAGAAGCAACTTGAGTTTCTTGCCGGTTTCTTCTCAGCAGTTCCGAACCGGTGGTAACTTACTTACGAACGTATTAATTCTTCTGTAAAATTTTGAAATTAAATAAGAACACGCAAGCGTGTATGCGAATAACGATATTTTAACCGATTTCGAAAAAGACGGTTTCTCAATTCGACCGTATACATTTTTTTTAATGTGTTCGCGGATAACTTCATCGTTTATGAACCGATTTTGATGATTCCTTTTTTGTTTGGGAAAGGAGATATCCCAAGGGTGGTACCACAAGGAAACTGGGATCTGATGACGGCATCCCAGGGAAATCGAGGGCAACCCTCGAATGTTATGGGTATCAACAATGGTTTTTAGTCTGTATTTTTTTTGTTAAAAATTATGAATTTGAATTTGGAAGCGGTTGTCGATTGGGCAGGTAGGGGGCGCGGCCGTCGCGCTAGTTTCGCGGCGGCGGCGCGCGCGCCCCCCAGTGCGAGCGCCGCCTCTGCGGCGCAGCAGGCGAGCGCGAGCGCGCTGCGCAAGCAGAGCTACTCGCTCTTCCTCAAGCAGCGGGCCGTGCTCTTCTCCGCCAAGAAGTGGAAATAGCGAAGCGAGCGGCGCGACCCGCCCCGAGGCGCCCCTGATCTCCGGGTGTTAAAGCGATTACAGTTCTGATACGACGCGGTACTAGCCTAGTGAACGACACATTGATTTTAAACCCTACCCCACCTCTGTTGCAATGTATATTATATTTTCGCTAAAATACTGTCTGAATAAACGAAGAAGTATTGGTTATACCGTATTGATTCGGGAACATACTGTATTTAACTTAAAGTGGGCGCAAACATTAGTGCCCGAGTTTGTGCACCGTCGTGAGAGAATTGAGTTTGCGTAAATAATTGTAAAATTTGTACGCAATTAGTTTAACAACGCACAACAACTTTGTGCGAAAGTGTACGCCAGCTCAAACGTCACGTGCGGTGGGAGCGAGACAAAAAGTTCTTTGGATATTGCGCGAAGGTTAAGACACATTCCCTCTTCTCTTCGCCCAATAGACAAAATTCTATCACCTATTTACGTCCAAGTACAAACTTCAGTTGCTATTCACGACTTGTGCGTACCGTATAAATTACAAAGCTCAAGTCTTTCTTTCCTTCTCGACTGCACAAAGTATAGTGTCGGTCGCATTGATTTAGTTTCATCCCGAGATCAGTTCAAACGTGGCGGGTTCGCGCTAAATCCTCACACTTCTTCCACCTGCCCACCCTCCTTAATTGTAACTTTGCTTCGTATCTTAGGTTGTATACGATAAACATTTTTTTATGTATTCCCCCGAGTTTAATGTATATTTTAAATGATTTTGAATATTCTAAGCTAGTCTCTAAACTAAGATAAATTTTAATACTATTGACGTTTGTGTATGTTATTTAAGTGCTTAACAATACACCCGCAGTGTGGCACAACAATGAACGGTTTCTGTTCTTGATCATTTAATGTTGTCAGTAAAAAAAAAATATTACTTTGGTCGTATATGATTTCGACTTTACATTCGTTATTCAAGACTCGATTTACGGAAGGTATTGTTTTATTTATTCATTTCGATTTATTTAACTAAAGTTGGGAACAAGCCAGAAGGGCGTCGTGAAATTTCTTAATTTTAATAAAGCTGTTATAAGAATATCTTTCTGAACGGAAGTTGTAAACGAATGTTGATGATTCAAGCCTGTTGGCAGTAATTTTAATTAAAACACATATATTATTTATTTTGAGTTTATGAAAGTAGCATGTATTTTAATATTAGTTTCTTATAGCCTCGTAAGTCTATTTTCAGTAAAAACCAGTGTGCTAGTGCGTTATCTTAGTAAATAGACATTCGTACAATATGTATTCATACACTTACAAATTCACAGATTGTTTTTATGAAAAGGATTTTTAAATAAATTATTATTGTGGTTTATGCTATAAATTTCAGAGGCTTCCTCTATTTCATAATATAGTCATTCCATTTTAGGTCATGTATTTTTGTAGATGTAAGTTTAATTTAATAAAACAAAACTGTTTTAGTAACCACTTAAGAGCTTTAAGTTTGCCATTCGAGAGGATTACATTTAAGTTATTTTTATTTACTTCAATACTCATGTATTACATGGTACATGCATTATTTTGAATGGTTTGTACTATTTGATATGATAGTATGTGGCAATAAATAAAATTGGAAAATGAGCAGTGTTTTACTGATTGTTTGTTTACTTGTTGTTTCATACATTGCTGATTGACATACATTTATAGTTTCTTTAACTTTATAAACAACATCGTTATAACATTGATCTACTAATATCAGGGACTCGCAGTACTTGCTAAATAGAAAATACATTTTCAAAACCAAACAACTCACTCACTATAAATTTACTATTTGATTTTGAGTTGTTCTTCAATGTAGCGTGGATATTAATATTGGAACACATTGGAACTGAATCAAATCCAATGCAAAAATAATTTTAAAATCAGTTCATAAGTAATAAACCTTAAAAAAAACAGAATTGAGAATTCTTTTTTAAAGTTGATTGAAAAACTAAGTCTCTTCTAAAAAAAAGTAAGGGGGCACAATAAGATATCTAGTATAGCATATCTTGTAAGGAATTACTACCAAATCCCTTCCTCAAATAAAAAGTATAACCTATTACTTACAGACAGGACATTAGGTGACTATAAAGGGATACCATATGCCCTAGCATACCCTACCCATGCGCTATGGATACCATAGGGCCTTAATTTCAGACAACTTAATAACCAAATGTTAACAAACTCAAGTTAATAGTTTTCCATGTATGTTAAAAGATACAATTATAGCTTTATTGTAGCAGATTTTTTTTGTAATTATTTCTGACAAATAATAATTGTTGAAATTGGATTTGTCAAACTGGTTTCCGGCAATGATTTACTCAAATTACTAAATACTTGGGTGAACCGAAATGTACAATTTTCATACCATCTAAATTGCTGCAAATTTCTAGATCCTCACATCTGATTGAGACAAATATACAGCGTGTCGTTACCATCGCGACAATAAATGAACGCACATATAGGGAATAAGTTCTTAAAGTTGTATTAAACATTTAAATTCTTTAAACATCAATATTTACAGAGTTATTAAATTTTCCAAAACAAAGAATTTTAGAACACCCTTACCTATAAAAGCGTAACGTAAAGTTCATTTGTAAAGGTCACAAAGCATATGAATGGGTTGAATGAATTTAAAAGAGACAAAACATACTGTTGGAAGGAAAGGCTTGTAATGCGACCCTGTGGCGCGAGTTGTATAGGGATGTTACAAATTTTGTTTCTTTCTTACTTAATTGGTTTGTTTGAAAAATATTTTTTTTTAATTATGGATTTTGTTTAATGTTAATATTTTTTTATGATTATTGGCACGTAGCGTTAGACGTGTGTTCATTTATTGTCGCGATGATAACGACACGCTGTATATTATGGAATTGTATCATTTATTGTAAGACTGTGTTGTTGCTCTAGAGAAATACAAGGAAAAGAGTCACTTCCATATATATCTGTAAATGCCATGTTGCTCATAATAGCCTAGTCTGACTTAAAAAAATACAAACACAAACGAAAATCAACAAAACCTTTCGTGGCTAAATATTTAATAATACAGCTAAAATTGGTAAAGGATAAAAGCATTTGAAAAGAGCAAAGCATTTGCATCTCTTATATTAAACAGAACACAAGTTGCCTTAATTTTTCTAATATGAAAAAGTAACTCATTTACCAAATGGTTAACTAAATATTTGATCAATAACAATTTAAAAATTATGTTTTGTAGAAAAACAGTTTTATTATCAAATCTATCACAATTTGTTATTCTGTACACCCAGTGTATTATTATACATATTTAAGAAATAATGTAGAAGGCACGAAGTTGTAGAACATAATTTGAATTATTATTATAAAAATCTTAAAAATACCTAACAGTCTAACCGTCCTCTTCTTCAATTTTTGGCGCCAAGTAGTAACGGATGTGACCAATGTCCGGAATGCGATATTCAACCACTAATGGAACGTCAGCAGACATGGAAAGTTGAACCTGAAATAAATAAAAGATTTCAATCATGACTTGGACATAAAAGTTATTCAGCAGTGAATTTTTGTCAAGTGTTACAAAAATTTGGAAGCAAATCTTAATTTGCCCATAAATAAAATTGAAAACAATTTTTTGTATATGGGTATGCCATAAAGCTTTATATAAAACTGTGGTCATCCATATGCCTGATGTGGATGGATACTCTTGAAAATAATGCAAACTTTAGTACAGTAATAATTTACATACACTTATTTATGAACTACAGCTTTAAACTAATTCTGAACTAATCAAAAATAAAATCCAATTAATAATGGCTACGTAAAACATGAATTTTATGAACATATTGGGGCAGATATGGTGATTATTATTTAGGACCAACAATAATTAATAATTAACAATAACATACCTGTGGGCTTAATGAAGTTGCCTTCGTAAAGTAGTTTAGGTACTGACAGGCGAATGTAAGTGTAACAGGTTCCTCCATTTCAATGACGACGGCCTCTTCTTCCTTATCAACTGACGCTGTTTGTGCTAATGCAATATTGGCTGATCCAATATCACCCGATGCTGAGAATCTAACACCTGTTCACATAGTTTATTTATTTATTAGACACCAACAGTATACATATTAAAAAATTTTGTGATTTAGCATTACATTATTTTCTTATTTGTACACCAATGACAGGTATGTACAACTTTTACAAATATGGCATGTACCTTCATTAGAAAATAATTTAAAATTGCAATAAATACTTAATAAAAGAAATCTTATTTTTTATCAGAAAACAGAAGTTGTTTCGGAGTTGTTTGAGTTATTAGTATCCAACCAACTACTTTTTATTCAAACTGTATGCTGATATGTTTTTACCTTCTTTGGTACATGAGATAACCATAGACTCTCCAAACTGAGAAAGGTCACGGCAGATTCTGGCAAACTCTGCACTAGACAAACGAATTGTGCAGCTGTATTCAGTTTCAGGAATACCTAGTAAAAATAAAATCACATATTATAATTTGAAAATAATAAGCAAATATATTTGGACTGTATGAAATTCAAACAAAACAAAAGTAAACCATCACCACTTTTTCTTAAAATTTTTTGGAAAGTTGGAAGTTTTATGCTGTTTGGTCCTTTTGAACTTAAATTCACAAGTGTTTTTTACTATAATAAAAGAAAATAATTTTACCCAAGTGTTCAAGATCTAAATTCATAAGCTTCATCTCATAATCTGATACTTTTTCTTGGTTCGGGCTTTCAAATACAAAAGTGACAGTGTCAGCATTATCCTGCGCTTTCATTGTCACTGTGTCCTTGTCTCCTGCACATTTGAGAATCTTCGACATGCTGCAATGTATTGAACACTTTAATTTTATCCTTACATAGAATACAGTTCATTAGCTACACAGAATATAGTTCATTATTATGATGTAATTATTTTAATTACATCTGATAATGAATATGTAAATGCAATTAAACCAGATTATGATAAATGAAAAGGAAACACATTTAATAGGCCTTTTGAGATACTCAGTTTTACAGTGAACTCAAATCCAAATATCTTTAATCAATATTTTATAATTTTTTTTGATGACCCAAATGGCGTAGTCGGTAGTGTACCTGCCTTCTGCACCAGAGGGTGGGGAAAAATATTGTGTGATGAGCATAGTGTTTTTCTAATGTCTGGGTTTATATATGTATAATGTATAATGTATAAAGTAACAGCCTATTTATATTATCTATAAGTATATTTATTTACAAAAGAAAAGTATGTTTAAGTATGTCTATCAGTTTTCTAGTACCCATAGTACAAGCATTGCTTAGTTTGGGACTAGATAATGTTGTGTAAAAAGAATGTGTCCTAAAATTTATTTATTATTTTATTTATATAGAAGCATCACTCTTACTTATTGTTAAAATATTACTAGAAAAGTATTTAAAACATATGGATTACTTAATTTTTCTTTATACATATATATGTATATCTATATAGACAATATGTCAAATTATGTCTCATAACACCATAAAAACTGTCAAAATATACATACCTGCTCAAGTTCATGCCGAGAGAAATATTTCTGTCGCATCTGTATTTATCAAAGCCATCTGCTCGCAAAGTAAGTGAAACTAAAGACACATGTGAATTGTCCATTGCCTGAAAGTGAACCAAATGAGACAATGTTTAACAAATGGAACCTTGTCACTTTTTAAGAACTCCAATCACTATATTCATGTTATTTCCTATTCAACGGTATCAAATAATAGGATTAATTAGTAGGTATAATAATGATAATTTATTTGTAACAGACTTCATCGGTAAATGCCAAGATTCTGACTGTAGAATTGGTTAAAGTGAGGCCGTAGCGCGGGAAATACCCTTAAATTTGTATTGACATAGGAGCCAATTACAACAATATTTTCTAAGCCAAATGTTATAAATCTTGTATAAATTATTTTCCACATGTAATCCAATCAATGATAATAGCGTTTTAGTATCATTTATGTTGAAGGTTTATTGCTTGACTAATTTTGTTCATTATTCTTTCAGTAGACGGCATGTTTATAAAAATCCGCAAAAGTGCCTACCTGTAGTTGTATTCCATTATCATCACAATCGAACGTCGCTTGTGTTAGGAGATCCTTTATAGCCTCCAGAACCTTCTTCAAAATAGAGCTGCGGAGAAGACGTGCTTCGAACATAATTGTCTAAAATCAAAGAAAAAAGTTAATTAAAAACCTCATGGATTCAATAATGGTTTCTAGAATTCAAAAATTCTAGCTCACATCTTATAAGAAGTACAAGCTAGAAAAAGGTATACTTTAGGTAAGAAAGCTTTCGTAGATATACTTACAATTATAAATTAAGTATTTCGAATAGGAATAAATGAAATGAACTTTATTGAGCAAAATTTACAGTACAAGAGAAGCTGATGACCTGCCTGACACAAAGCAAAGCGGCGTCAACGAGAGACCGGTTAAATGGCGCGAAAATTGCTTTACGTCAACGAAGTTCTTGTTCAAAATTATGATTCAACAAAATAAAAATTTAAACTGTAAAGCTTTTTAAACATAGATAAAAAATATTTTAATCGTTTTTGAATAACTGTCGAAATATGTCAATCGATTTTATATTGGACTTATTCTTTCCTGACTACTTAAATGTGATGTGGCGACTCATTTGCTACTGTGTAGCACCGCTCTTATCTTTTACACCCTTACTCTCATCGGTCTAGCATTACCCTATTATTGACAAATTTCTATAGCAACGAGTGACAGTAAAAGATGATGGTTTTTCTCAACACGGCTTGTTCTTTGTACTGCATCTTAATTATTCCCTCCTGCCGGCTCTCCCAAACTGGTGACCCCGACGTGATGTGATAAATATGCGCAACATCGGAGCCCACGTCGCTACGCTCTGCAGTTTCGCTAGGAAACAACAATTTCCGCGATAATCGAGGTTTGTTCCATTCTGCGACGCCGCCTAGGTACGCTTCCTTCTTTTTGTTTTTCCCTCCGTGCAGAGAAGTCTGCTAGGGAGACTAGAAAAGCCACCTGCGAGTGAGACTATGGTATAGCCTGCGAGGGAGATTGTACAGAACAGCCATGAAGCTATAATCGCAACAACTGTAAACGCATCTACGATAATCTACATCGCTATTGGACTCGTATTTTGTCCATTCTATGTAGCGCTGAGCCGGCATTTTTCGCATCGAGGCCGGCCTTTTTTTTTTTCTCTACCGGAGCTACGTCATCTTTGACGAGGAGGAAGTTGAAAAGCGCGCCACGCGCGGCAATCACCCGCAACATTGTGTCAGGTGACTAACAGCTCTCCACTGATACTTCGCGACGGATGCTGCGTTTACATTCGTTCAAGTGAAAGTTTAGTGCTATTTTACACTTAAGATAGTATCATTTTATGTTGTATTTAGACTTACTTTACTTTTCTACCAATTTTATTATTACGTTTGCTGCGCAATACTGAAATTGTTTCGTTTGTGTATTTACCGATTTGTTCCACTGCGTGTATGTGTAAAGCGTTTTTGCGATTTGACCGTTTCTGATTTTACCTTTAAACCATGGCGAGTCAAGGAGAATCTAACGTTTCAGAGGGCCACGTTGGCAACGAGGGTGATGCTACTGCACTAGTCGGTGGCAGTCCCATTTACGTAAACAGGGTCGCAATTAGGACCCCGCCTTTTAGCAAGGATCAGCCCGCATTGTGGTTTGCTAGCCTAGAGGCGCAGTTCCACATTAACCAAATTACCGTCGAAATGACGAAGTTTCATTTCGCCGTGGCGCATTTAGATACCGAGTGTACGAAGGAGGTCGAAGATATTATCACACATCCTCCCGAGTTGCAACCATACACAACTTTAAAAAGCGCAATCATATCTAGATTCTCCGATTCCTTCGAGGAGAAGGTGCGGCGCTTACTAGAAAAGGAACAGTTAGGTGACCGCAAGCCATCTTCGTTCATGCGACACTTGAAGAGTCTGGCTGGGCAATCGTTCCCCGCTGACTTGCTGCGATCAATTTGGGCCAATCGGCTTCCCCGGCAGGTTCAAATTGTGTTGGCCGCACAGAAGATCCAGGACTTGACGGAGTTGGCGGAGATGGCCGACCAGTTGGTGGAGTTGACCGAGAGGCCTACCACCGTGAGCCAGGTTTCGGCGCATCATACCTTTGAACCCACTCTCGCGTCAATGCAGCGGCAGATCGAGGAATTGACGCGAACAGTCTCAGCGCTCAGAACAAACACCCATGAACGATCTGGGAGCTCACGCGTTAATCAAAAGCGGAGCCGCTCTCGATCGCGCTCACGCCCACGTAATCAGAAGCTTTGCTGGTACCACGATCGTTTCGGCAACAAAGCAAGCAAATGCATACCAGGATGCAGCTGGACCATTGAAGGAGCTACCAAACCTTTAAACTAAGGGAGCGGTCGGACGTGGCAAGTACCGACCGCGCACAGTCCAGCAAACGCCTTTTTATTACCGATCAAAATACCAAAATTAATTTTTTGATAGATACCGGTTCGGACATTTGTTGTTTTCCACGAAAACTTATAAAAGGACGTTTCTCAAATACAGGACTTACTCTCAATGCGGCAAATGGCAGCTCCATTAAAACTTACGGCACAGTTAATCTGAACCTCAATTTAGGACTGCGCCGTGAATTTCGCTGGGAGTTTATTTGTGCTGACGTGGATGTCCCAATTATCGGTTCGGATTTCCTAGCTTTCTTCCACCTCCTACCCGACTGCCGTAGCGGCACACTGCGCGATGAGCTTACAAACTTATCCGCATATTGTTGTAACCGCAATATAATGCAGCCAAGTATTAGGACCATAAAAAAACCGTCTCGCGATTCCCTGTTCAGTCAACTCTTTTTAGACTTTCCGGAAGTGACGCGCCCATCTACAGCTGACCGTCAAATAAAACACAGCACTGTTCACTATATAACGACAACTAGTGGGCCGCCTGTCACGTCGCGTCCTCCTCGACTAGCACCCAACAAGCTAAAAATTGCTGAGAAGGAATTTAATGACATGGTGTCGGCGGGTACTGCTCGCCCATCTAAAAGCCCCTGGTCGTCACCACTGCATTTAGCACCCAAAAAGGATGGCATGAGGTGTCCTTGCGGTGACTACAGGCTCTTAAACGCTCTGACAATTCCCGATCGGTACCCTGTGCGTCATATAGGAGACTTCAGTCATAATCTGGCTGGTTCTACTATATTTAGCACATTAGATCTAGTAAAGGCCTACCAGCAGATTCCGGTAGCTGGTCCAGATGTTTGCAAAACGGCCATAATAACGCCATTTGGTCTTTTCGAGTTTCCCTATATGTCATTTGGGTTACGCAACGCTGGCCAAACCTTCCAGCGTTTCATCGATGAGATCTTGCGCGGACTAGACTTCGCTTTTCCCTACATTGACGATATTTTGGTATTCTCACGGGATGCTGAAGAGCACGCCAAACACCTGCGCATAATCCTGCAAAGACTGGTGGACTATGGCATCGTTGTCAATGTGGATCAGTGCGTATTGGGGACATGTGAGGTAATCTTCCTAGGTTATAAGATAACCAAGGATGGTATCTGCCCACCTGAAGAGAAGATCGCTGCTCTCCGCGAGTTATCGCTTCCCAAAACAGCTCAAGGTTTGAGACGCTTCTTGGGGATGGTAAATTATTACCGCCAATTTCTTCCCAAAGCCGCCAAGCTCCAAGCTCCACTTGTGGATTTTTTAACAGTCAGCAACCTAAAAGATTCAAAAGCTATACCCTGGACAGCAGACTTGGAGCGTGCTTTCTACGAATGTCGCGACAGTCTCTCAGAGGCCACCATGCTTGTACATCCGCAACGAAATGCTCGTTTAGGGTTGTACACGGACGCCTCCAGCACTCATGTCGGCGCTGCCTTACAGCAAAGGTCTGATCAAGGCTGGCAGCCGTTGGCATTCTTTAGCAAAAAGCTAACACAGAGCCAAAGTACATGGCCCGCGTATTACCTCGAACTTCTCGCAGTGTACGCGGCCGTACAGCATTTCCGGCATATACTAGAGGCACAACACGCGACAATCTACACGGACCACAAGCCGCTTCTTTATGCTTTCGTCCAACGCCGTGAAAAATTGCCCCCTGCTCAACTTAACCAACTCACGTTTATTTCCCAGTTTACAACTGATATCAAACATGTTGTAACTCGCACCCCTCTTTATGCATATATATAATTAAACTTATATATTTTTTCCCCCATTATATGAATAAATCATATAACATCATTACGTGACCAGGATAAATTATTGATCTTTCTAAAGGTAATAATTAGCCGTATGAAATATTATTGTGATCGTCATGTTCGGTAGGACCGCATTTACGTTGTGTTTATTTAGTAACTTGATTCTTTTAGGTGGATCTTGGATAGATAAATATTCACTAGTTGTGGTATAAGCCAGAGATAATGCTAGATTGCTTTCTTATTAACTAATCCCGACTCGCTTGAGACGGGCTCAGAGTATATAGTATACTCCCTCTCACGCTTGTAAAGGGCTCACAATATAATTTTAAAATAATATCCCTTCTCTCTTGAAAAGGGCTCACACATCAATTTTACATACCCGATACAAGTCAACAGCTCCCCCACATTTTAAAAAAAAATGTAGGGAAGGCACACGGCTCCATGAAAACACTCACCAACGCCGTGTGCGGTGAGCGCCAACCAACATATTGCGCCCCCTCTCCCCCCCCAGAAGAGGGACAAAAAGTTGGGGAAAGGACCGAAGTCCATTGCAAAGCTGTTTTACCAGCATAAAGAGGGCTTGGCCCCTTGGCAGTGCGTAAGCACAAACTTTGACCGAAGTCGCGCATGTCAATGCGTGTAAACGTCATACAAGCCGACGACAAATCCAATCTTCGTGAATGTACGTCAATACGGTTTTGGGCATGTGTTAAAGATCAGGCACTCTGGCCCTATGATATAATAAGCCCTCCGTAAGCGCCACCACTTTTGCCAGATCGCCGCGACTGCAGACGTGATTGTTAGTGTTTTGGCATCACCACCATTAAAAAGGTTAGCACGACATTTCGTCGCAGAGCGCGTTATGAGTCACTGCTCACCCCAAGGGTATGGTTAAAACGTTGCACGGCATAGCCGCAGCCTTGAGAGGTTTTCTCCCGCCAGCTACCATCCACATGAGG